GCAAATACAAACCAGTCAAACGCATCAAAATCCCAGTTGATAAATAAGATCACCAGAAATGCCTACTTCTAGAAAAAAGGTAAATTTTAATTTTAAAAAATTTGAGTACATCTCCTGCAAAGGTATATTCTACTTTGTAATATAGTTGTCTAAAAAGAAGGAAGAAGTGAAAAAAAGAGAGAGAGAGATAAATTAATTTAGACTCCAATTTGCAAGTAGAAACCATAAACCAATAACTGGTCCTCAAGACCAGTGGGACAGAAGTATAAATTATGTATCCTTAGTAGGTTAAAATAACTCTGCATACTTGACTTTTTCTGATTTTCATGTATCTTAATTTATATGAAACGCATGATAAATTATAAAATCAGTAATTTGGCTGTTGGTTTCTCCAGTAACAAAACACAACACAAGAAATATTGTTTTAGTAGGAATATGACTAAATTTAGCATCTGGATAGACACGGTTGACCGATTTTTGTTTGGACAGTAGCCCAGGGCAATGTGTTGAAAAGGAGGGAAGTAACACTTGACTAGGTACCTTGTGTTAACTTGGACGCTTCTCATTTATACCTAGTAAAATTCTACTTCTGGTCCCTTCCTCTTCTTTTCAATACATACACAATTGGCCAATCCCGTTCCTTCCCAGAAACCACCTGGATAATATGTATAAGGAGAAGCATGCTGGAAGCCTCCATATAGAATTTAAATATCCGCATATAAGTAGGCAAGTAGAAGCAAAACATCCCCAAAGTGTAGTCAAAGGTGCAAATATCTGATGCACTATAATAACAATTGAATACTAAAGCGGCCTATGCCTTGTGGGAACAAATGTCCACAGTTCACCCTTTTCTGTTTAATGAGCTTCTAACCTAGAGAGACAGGCATGTCCATAAGTAATATGCTGCCCAATGTTACTGTATCTATAGAACTCTGTCTATAAATACCAATGTGTAGTGAAGAGTCTATTAAGGGAGCCCCGAGGAGAGTCAAATTGCAGCGAGGACTGTCAGACAAAGCCCACTGAAGAGGTATAATTTACTGTGGGCTTCACAGGGCCTAAAGAGGACAGGGGATCAGACTGAGAGAATAGAAAGGAAAATTGATTCATCTGGGCTAGAGTTTTATGTCTAAAACGAGGGAATTAATTCTTAGAAAGAAATCAGAACATTTACAGAGCGGTCTTTCTTGAGTATGGAAAATAAGATTATGTATTGCTATAACAGTAAATGTATATCCCCAGAAAATAACATAATATCTGATTTAAAATATCATGATGTGACTTGCCCTGATCATGGTGAAACAGGGCAATAGCTTTTATTATCTAAGAAAAGAGAAATGTACAGCATTACAAATCACATTGTCATAGGTTACTGGTCACAGGTTTCTAAAAAAGTGACTCAGCCACCTCCCATGTACTCATGCATGAAAACTCTTAAAAGGATTGCTATAAAGATCACATAAAACCATCGCTGTGAAATTTCTGCACATAGTTTCAGGCACACAGTAAATGCTTACTAAATGTTCATAGGCTCCGAAGCTCAGAAATAACTTTTTGGGCCAGATTCATTCAATGAATATATAAACACATGATTTTTCTCTACAAGGAAAATTACTGCTTTCTTTCTTTTAAAAAGCATTCAATTCTCTGTAAATAAGCCTGTTTTGAACTTCTCAAAAAACTGAATTAATAAGAAGTGACAATTGCAATGCAATCTGCCAATAATGTTTCCTTTAGAAAGCACCAGGAACTTACTCCCGTTGTGTTATTTGTACCATTCTGGGTCTCATTCACACGCTGAACTATTCCAGAAATACAGAGAGGTCCAGCAAAACCCAGTAAGTCAGCCAGATAACGGAATGTGCTGCTAAGTAGAATTGGTCGCCCAAAAGCTCTGTACATGGCAAGCCATATAGACGGGGTCCGATTTGGATGATCTGCCACTTTTTTCTGAAAGGAAAACCAGATAGAACAAAATAAAATCACTTAGAGCAGCAACTGATCTCAGTAATGCTGGCAGTTCCTTCTGACAGTTCTAACATTAATTTAACAGTTTAAAGATAGATGTTAATGAATCCCTTTCAGGGTAACATGCACTGTTCTGCATCCTTGAGTTACATCCAAACAGTAGCTACTGAATACATTTTAATGAAACAGAGAGAATGAGAAGGACGGTTTTTCTAAGACCTGTATTATTTTTAGTAATCAAAGGATGACACAAAATTCCTCAAGTCAACTTGACTTCTAATTCCCTAATATTTGGAAACTGTATTTCTGTCATGAAAATTACCAAATAATGTTGTATGAGAAAAAAGACAGGAAAGTACAAAGATCAAAGTTATTGAAAGACTGGTTAAGATCTCTGGACTTAGTAGATCAGAAGACATTTGCTTTCCAATTACCACAAACTGAACAAAACAGATGATCTCAACCTCAAGTTGTTTCTCCTCCAGTACTTCCCAGTTTTGTGAATGGCAGTCATCGTTTTTAACATTAGGAGAGACTTGTGTTTCCTATGCAGTATAGTTTGGATATTTGACCCTTCAAAACCTGATGCTGAAATTTGATCCTCAATTTTGGAGATGGGGTTGACTAGGATGTGTTAGGGTCCTGGGGTGGATCCCTCATAAATAGAATAATGCTTTTTTTTGGAGGTGAATTCTTATTCTATTTGTTCCTGTGAGAGCTGAGAGCTAGTTGATAAAAAGATCCTAGCACCACCCCCATCATCTTCTTTTGCTTCTTCTCTCAACATAGGGTCTTTGTGTACCCAGCCTCCCCTTCACCTTCTGTCATAAATAAGAAACAGCGTGTGGCCCTCACCACATGCAGATACCCAAACTTGAACTTCCCAGCCATCAGAATCATGGGCCAAAAACACTATTTTCTTTAAAATTACCTAGTCTCAGGCACTCCTTTAGAGCAATACATGCTGTACTAAGATACTAGGTATTCCTCAAGATACACAAAATGAAGAATGGCATCTAAGCTTAAGTCAACTCATGACTTAAAACACTTACATTTGTTTGTTGTAAAGATTTTAAGACCTGAACAATCATAATTAAGACTTAGGAAGGAGGTAAAGAAAGTTTTTTCACTGTGGGAAAGAAGCCAATTCAATGGAGTAGAATTTGGTTATGTTTCATGTCCAACCCCCTGTTACAATGAAGAATTTGAGTATTTTTTAAAGTTCATTGATATGACATTAACACACCAAGTACAATCTAATCTCTTTGGTAAGGAGCACTCAGAAGGCTTAAGCTATGCTTAGGCTATGTTAAAAATCTCTACTTTAGCAGAGACGTTTAAAAATTTTTATGCAATACTTTTCCCAGAGGTGAAACCAGAGAAGTGACTCAGGTTCATTTGTAGTAACCATTTCCTGCCATATTAATTTCATAATACATATTTCTGACACAAAACAGAGCTCATTTTCATCATTTACCATAAGTGCTTTGTTGATTTTGATTTGAAACAGCCAAAAACTTATTAACTGATTCACCATACCCTTATTCCTTTCCAGTGCTGTTGAGAATACTATTATTTTAAATGGCACTGATATGGGTAAATTATTGCAATAGAAAACATACCTACCCCTGTGGATTGCATGCATGTGTGACTAGTTAGAATGATAAAAGACAAAATAAAAATAACCAAAACATTTCATCTTGAATATTTTGAACAATTATAAATATGTAAGAAAAGTGCCAGAGGAAACCAATGTTGGCAGACATAGAGGATGACACATGGAGTAGGTAAGCAATCTCCCTTTAATTTAGTTTCCCATGTTCAAACCAGAGAATCCAAATTTTAGTCAATTATTATTAACATAAGTCTTTTAATGTCTTAAAAGTGGTTTTTACTAGAAGGGCTCTTTTTTACCTTTACATAACAAAACTATTACAAGATGCTTGAGAAAAGACTTAATCACAAAAATTTCATGAGTAATAATACTCTATGATAACATGAATTGGTTATATGTGATCATTGAACCTAATTCGTACTTTCCATTTGGTCACACATTCCAGAAAAAGGATAATGTTCTATTTTCCTCATGTATTGACTAGGCGACTAATACAGCATAATCATACTTATTAGCTCTTGCAGTCTTTCCCAATTAACATGACTCAGAACTATAGCAGAAGACAGAGAAAATTTGCTCTTCCTTAACTACAGATATTATTTATTTAAGCTTTGTGTCTATTATAATTAATAGGTTTATTCTATACAATTAAGGATATTAAAGACAAATTAATAAATTACCTTTTGTTCTTCATATGCATCTTTCAGGCAAACATAATTTGTCACTGCCCTCATTGCTATTGGCAATTTCCCAATGGCCTTCAGATCAATAGGCTTTTTGTGAGCAGAGATGATAAGTGTGTTCATCCACCAGTATGTTGCTTTTGAGAGTAAATTCACAAACGGCTGAAGAAATCTCACTCCTAGATCCTGGAGGTCTTCAGGAGGCTTTACTTTCTGAGGATTCATGAAAAATACGTATCTCTGTGGCAAAAAATAAAAACAATCCACAATGCAACAACTGGTTCAATTCTTTTCCTTTGTATTAAAAATAAAATTTCAAACTTTTTTATATTTTCATTTTATATGACCAAACTTTATATTTTAATACCTCCTTCCATCTGTTTCTAAAATATTCTTTGAATATTTTGGAGGTGAATTCTTATTCTTTGAAATCGTTCCCTTCTGTTATGATTGGATTAACCTGTTAAATACCATAATTTCACATTTAATCCTCTTGGGGCCAACTCTAAACAATCAGCCTTTTAACAGATAGCTAATACTAAGAACCAATCTTTCATGATATCTAGGGGTAGGGGAAACTAAATTAAGAGTTTTTTGGTTATTCAAATTTTAAAATGTGTTATCAACGCCATCATTGATCCCTCTGTGGATTTGTGGTTTGGGGGTGTTAACTGAGTATTCTCCACATTCACTGCAGCACACATATCTTCACTCATAGAGCAACTCTGAAGTTCTCTGATAGAAAATTAATATTGAAAACTTTGTCTCTAATATCTCATACAACACCCCTGATTTTATGTGTGGGAAGTACAATAGATTTGTAATTACAGACCAGGAGATCAGGTGTCGGTCTTGACAATATTACTTTAAGTATATAGTTAAAGTTGTCTCTGTAAAAGTTATATCATCAGTGAAATGAGCAAACTGGATTAGATTATCTTGTTTTTAGTTCTAAAATCTGGGACTACAGTATTTCACTTAGCCCTGTTGTGTTTTGGACCAATCATGGATGATGAAATTTCCTGCTGAAAACAATTGTTTCTGTAATATGAATTGAGCATAATGTTGGCACATAGTGAGCACTCAATCAATCAGTATTGATGAATGTCCAAATAGACTCTGGGTTCGACTGAGATGGCCTGAAGGTTAGTGATTAGTTCAACTTTATATTTACATATTTAGGTCAAATGTATTTTTTCATTCTCTTAAATAATAAAGATTTATGACTGATCATAATCTTTAATCTTGGGGTCTTGAATATAAGTAGTTAAATAAAAATCATTAGACACCTACTCTGACCCGAATAACGTTGATCTCCACAGCCATCAGGAGCCCATTCAGGATGACCATCATGCCAGTGATGCAGAAACGCAGATCTGATAAGCCCCAACCACACTGCCAGTACTTCACCAATTTTATTGTTTTTGTAATAAAGGCCATTACCCAATACAGGAATAGGGCTAGAAAAAAAATAAAAGAATAAATGAAAAAGATGCAGTCTTTTCCCGATTTTTTTTCAAACTTCACTAATATTTCAAAATGAGTATCATGCTTTTAAATAACAAAGATAATTTTTTTTGGGGGTGGAATTTTTTTTATTAAATGATAGTTGTGTACATTGATGCAATCGTGGGGTACAGTGTGGTGCTTTCATATACAATTTGAAATATTTTCATAAAATTGGTTAACATAGCCATTATGTCATTTTCTTAGCTATTGTGTCAAGACATTCATATTCTACTTTTAGAAAGATTCACTTGTACCCTTGCAAGATAAACCATAGAGGTGATCCCACCAATCACCCCCTCTCCACCCACCCACCCCACTCCTTTCCCCTCCCCCATCCCTTCCCCATATTCTTAAGCTATAATTAGGTTATAGCTTTCCTATGAAAGCTATAAATTAGTTTCATAGTAGGGCTGTGTACATCGAATATTTTTTCTTCCATTCTTGTGATACTTTGTTAAGAAGAACATTTTCCAGCTCCATCCATGTAAACATGAAGAAGGTAAAGTCTCCATAACAAAGATAATTTTAAATACCCTATTTCTGAACAGTTATATTTGATAAGGATGATAAAGATACAACATCTATGTTTGAGTACACTTTGGGAGTTTTGAATTGGATGTATGATCTAATAAGTTAAAAATGTTGCGTGTTTCCAGTCTGATTATATGAGATGGAAAGATACAAGGAGACTCATAAATAGAGATAATCTACACTCTTCAAAATTTGTGTGTCATTCTGTAAATTTTAAAAATGGCTTTATCTTCTGGTCTTGCTTTCTAAGAGCCCTGATTATATGAATAATTCACAAGTTGGTCTCTGTGAACTTACCCTTGCACCTTTCAGATGTATGTCTGCTGGTATTACTCTGACATTATCATAGAACTCATGTAATTGTATAATAGGGCTTCTGTTTTACAGATCATCAGTCAAGTATAAAGTGACTTATCTTACATTAAATGGTTTGAAATACCACCCTCATCCACAGACAACAGTGATCTTACAGTGCAAACACAGACCTCAAATAGACCAAAAAGGTAGGCATTACACTGTCTTAAATAACTATGGCCAGCATTTTACAACAAATATGAGATGGAAGCCAAGACGTTCCTAAATATCTGATGACAAGGATTTGGTCTACTTTAAACTTTGTACAAATGAATATGGCATAAGAAAGAAGACCTCTAAAAGATGATTCAGCTTAGACAACAATTATCAGAGCCAGAAGAGTTAGGAGTGATCACAACTTCCTAAGTGAAAAATAACTCACCTTTGGCATATGAACTAAATGTATATCTTGTTTTAGCTTACAATACAGAGATCATCAGAACGGATTTAGGGAGGAGAAAGATCAAATTTTATGCTATCTAAAGATACTCCCCTTAAATACTAAAGATATTCCCCTTAAATACTAGAAAGTATGGATTAAAAATAAGTGGGTGGTAAAGATAATACAATAAAAACAGCAAGTATAAGAAACCTGGAAACAAAGTAGACTTTAAGACAAAGAATATTAGCAGAAATAAGACTTAATGATAAGAGGGCCAATTTCTCAGAAAGACACCACAATCAAAAATATATATATGAATGAAGACTTAAAAGATTTGAGCACTCTCAATTACCTCATACTATTTGATATTTAAAAAGCTATTTAATATTTGGTACTATAAAAGTATACACATCTTCAGAATGTTCATTCTTGTTAAGTGCATATGGTACCAGGAAAGACTTTATGTTCACTCATAAAACAAAAAGCAAAATAAAATAATAATAAAATTAAAATGACAAAAATCACATGGAATATGTTCTCTGATCACAATAAAATTCAATTTAAAAATCAAGAACAACAGCTTTCTATTATTGCTTAATAAATTATGCAGCCAGGAGCAGTGGCTCACACCTGTAATCCTAGCACTCTGGGAGGCCGAGGCAGGAGGATTGCCTGAGCTTAGGAGTTTGAGACCAGCTTGAGGAAGAGTGAGACCCCGTCTCTAAAAATATAGCCAGGAGTTGCAGTGGGCACTTGTAGTCCCAGCTGCTTGGGAGGCTGAGGGAAGAGGATCACCAAAGCCCCAGAGCCCAGTTGCCATGAGCTATGACCCCATGGCACTCTACCAAGGGCAACAAAGTGAGATATTCTCTCTCTCTCTCTCTCTCTCTTTCTCAAAAAAAAAAAAAAATACATATATATATATATATGTATATGGCACATTTAACAGCTTAAAACAGCATGCATTTATTATCTCACAGCTGTCAAAGATCAAGAGTCTGAAACTGGGTCAGCTGGGTTCTCTGCTCCAGGGTCTCCCCAGGTTACAATCTAAGTGTTGACTGGGGACCACAATCTCAACAAAGGCTTGGCTGATGTGCGACCTTCTTCCTTACCATACTTTGCTGGCTAGATGCTAGCACAGATCACTATGCTCTAGGGGATAAGATCATATAGGG